CAGGAATCTCTTCTATATTGAATTTTCCCTTCAATTCGCGCCACTTACTCCTCCCCATGATACCTACATCAGCCAGCATAACATTATGTTAAAACCAATCCAAGATATATTTAACCGTTATCGACATTATAATTATAACTTACTTTCTAAATCCTCTTGAGGATTCTTTGATCCAGCAAGCACTAAAATTGATTTGCTTTCTAAAGGCCGAGGTAGCTTTTGCAATTTTTCTATATCTTCCACCTCGGAGGGGGTTAATTCCAAACCTTCCGAACCGGAAAATTTAATAGGTTGAGATTGCCAGTAGAACGGGAATCTCAGCCTCCCATTCAAGAAAAACACACAATCTAAATTCGGATCACTACACGTAGACCGAATCTTGACGAATTCCTGTTTGAAGTTTTTGTATGATTGCGTGAATATTTGGAACAATCCTCCCCCCTTTGAACTCCCACTCAGTGAAACCCAACCAAACGGGGGCTCTCCTAACTTTATTTGATAAAAGTGCATAAATCTCGACAAACTTACTTCGATCCCTAATACTGAACACAATATTTGAAATGCATGCAAGAAACCCCAACTATTAGGGTGCAGTTGACTTGGTGCTATATTTACCTTTTCCAAAAATAAACACTCAAATGGTGTGAATGGCATTAGAACACCTAAATCCTTAAACACGCACTTATACATATATACACTGGGAGTCACACTTGACCCTTCGAAGTACACACGCTCCTCAGACGAACAGGGTTCTATTAAGATTTGCTCTAGCATAGGGGGCACACAGAACTTCAGGTGATGCTGCAAAACACTCACGCCCATTAAATCCACAAACCTGCTGCCATACTGACCAACATCACCCCTCACCCATTCGTACCCAGATGTTACAATTATAGGATGAGAATCTTTCTGATTGTTCCCCCCTCTTTTTCGAACTTCCGTCCCCTCCACCTCCACCATTTTACCTTTTCCCTTACCACCTTTCATCCCACCCTCACCCAGAAACTTAAGCCTATGGAATGCGTATAGGCCATAGCCAAAACTTAAACGCAACGCAGCAGGGCTAAGGGAATACCTGGCAATGACAACACTTTACCCACGGAGACGTTGCTTTCACGTTTCCCCTTCTAGCACTTCCCTAAAAGCAAACGAATGTATACGTCTATGCACAAATCCCTTTATAATGGCATTCTTACATCCCTCCAAAACCCAAGCGTTTCCTTTAAACCTCACACATCCCCACGCGCCTGTCGTTTCGTATTTGACACCCATTTATTGCAACCCATCACCCTTCCAACACGTGCACTGAAACGACACGACCCTTTAGACGCCAGCTGTCATTACTTAAACATTGTGGCTCCTCACGTACCTCTTCTGCATCTTTATGACCTCGTCCGTGACACCTCGTTTTATGACCTCATCTTCAGCTCTTTTGCTCTTTACATAGCTCTGAGCTTGGGGGGCTTATGTACCACCATTGAGGTCCACCGAGGTCATACCGAGATCCTAATATGACATATCGGCCAGTGTAAGTTGACTTAAACCCCGAGATCAACGAAACCGATATCTCAATATATAAACAACATCAAATATATAACACGTGCCAATAATGATTGACCTAACCATAATTAACTCACCTCGGACAACTGCTATGGCGGTTACATCGGAAAATCGCACAACCCAGGTAAACGATAAGAATGAGAATACACAATGGATGAGGACTAACTTGATCGTCGGAGTCCTTTTTGCAGGTACATCCGAGATGCCCGAGCAAGGAGACCGGAGAGAAGGAATTCAACTCATCAATCAACTTCGTACAATCTCGGCCAGGCTCAGCAAGGAAGACGACTTATTCGAGTTAGGAAAACGACCTGATTCGTGTAAATACAATATTCAAATAAAACAAATCCAATTTAAATTAAACACTAAATATATTTGAACAAATTAAACTAATTTGAATAAAACACCAAACAATACCATTCAAATAAAATGAAGCAGGCATCTTATGCTATTCAAATAAAATGAACTACCCCATCCTATGCTATTCGAATATAGGAATGAAAACCATTTGGAAGAAATGAACGTGATATCACATATCGTATAAAAAGTTAAAATCTAATTTCTCACATTAATATTTTATTCGAATGAAGTGAAAATATTTGAATAAAATAACTCACACCATCCATACAACATGACCCAATTATTCGAATAAAAAACTAGCCTCTCTTTTAACAATTTTTTTACTCTATTTTGTGGAGAAGTTTATAGATGTGAAATTTACATTGATAAATTTATCTTCTAACACCTCTTGTATGTAAGAAATTTTAACAATCAAATCGTTAAATTTAAAGTTCTTAATACATAGATCAAATTTATAAATTTTTAAAAAATTTAAAAATTATTTGATACTTCGTTTCATTAATTCAAATCAATATATAAAATAATTTTATGATTATCCATCAATTTAAATTAATGAAATGGGTATCAAATAATTTTTCAAATTTTTTTAAAAATTTGTAAACTTGATCAATGCATTAAGAATTTTAAACTTAACGGCTAGATCGTTAAAATTTGATGTAAAACATAAATTAATAAACAGAGTAAATTTAAGTAGACTTACTCCTGAAATAAACGGATTTCTCCTCATATATATATATATATATATATATATATATAAAGGTTTGCAAATATAAACCTTTTGAGATGATAAACATTAAGTTGAGGTAGGAAATATTCTCTATATTAATTTTGATTTTGATTATACTATATTGGTTGTGTAAAATTTAAGATTGTTGATTCTCAAAATAATGATTTAAAAGTCATATGTAAAATACTTTTTAAATTAATTGGTAGTGTAAATTTACACTGAAAAAATACATCAAAATTAAACTTTTGTTTTTTCATGTTAAATATCCTATATATTATTTCAGAATTTAAATTGTTTCTACTGAATAACTTACAAAAAATTGATAAAAAAAAAATCCTTATGATCGGCATTTAAGCATTTGGTTGGTGTCCAACTATCCATAAGTAATATTTGAATTTCATGATATTTAATATAATAAAAAATAGAATAAATTAAGTTACATTTCTCTTGATAAATAATAATATTGTATTGTTCTTTTCTTTATATTAAATATATATTTAATTCATTTAATTTAATATTATTAATGTAAATAGCATTTCTCTTTTTTTTTTTAGAGATGTAAAAATTATCAAATAAATTACATTCTTATGTCTTAGAGATATAATTAATATACTATCACTCTTATATTATATTAACTAAGTATTGTTAAAGAATAATTATTATAAAATTTAAAAAGTTATACTTTAAATTAATTATTTATAAA